GAAGGAGCCACAAATGGCCCATCCCAAAATTCCTCGAGTGCTCCAAACAGGAATTCTAGGAGCTTAACCAGTCATCAGGCATTCACACCTACTCCAGCCAGGGAGTTACCCCGGAGGCACAATCACTACTCATCCGCACCACTCAGTACTCCAGTCAGGGAAGATACCCAGGAGCATCCCAATAAACCATACCCTGCAAGAGAGCTGGCACACACTCCTCATAGTTGGCCTGACCTTACCCCTAGTCCTAGAAGGGGGCAAACATACAGGGAGGTAGTCGAGGAACCAAATCCCGACTCCAACACCTCTGACTACACTCAGGGGACAACTGAGTTTTGGGACAGTACTGAAACCCACACAAGCCCGGACACAGAACGGGATTCAGGGGATAGACAGCCTCCTGACAGGTCTTGGACGGACCTAGGAGGTTCTACAGAAATGCCCAACAGTGACTGTCACTTAGAAGGGCCAGAGAGCCTACAGCTAGGCGGGTCAACCAGGTCAACCAGGTCACAAAGTGAAAGAAGCCCTGGCCTGACGAGCCCGGTGGGCAAGCAAGCAGGCCAGGCATTGGAGCACAGTCCTTGGGAGTCACCAAGGCATAACAAGGGGAACAGGCACACGTCACCCCTCAGTCAGGGGGTACCTGTCAGACACCCAGAGCTTAGGAGGTCACAGAGAGCAAGGAACTCTCCTAAGTATTTAGAGGATTACATAACACTATTGGCTAAACAGAACCAGTAGAAGGGTAGAAACACTAAGGCAATGGAATCGGGGGGAACTCTGAACATTGGGGGAGCAGAGCACTGTATTAAGAGTGGGTTGTGTATTATTATGGTATTGGTCGTAGTTTTAGCCCGGGGGAAAGGGGTGTTATGTCCTGAGCCTTGCAAGCAGGCTCGGGGCATTGCAGGCGGTTCCGGGCAGGTGCAAGCTGCCCGGGACCAGACAGGCTGTCGCCAGTGTTTGTGCGCATGCGCAAGTGCTGGCGCGCGAAAAGTAACACATTGACCCGGGAAAGTCCTATAAAAGGAGGCCGCGAGTTTTGGGCTTTTGCCGCCATATTCCAATGTAAGCTGAACTGAAGAATAAAAGGTTTCCTGAGAACTACAACTGCTTCTCGTGTCTTACCATTTCGCGATGGACTCAACAGTAGATATTATTTATAATAAATAGAGGCAGCCTAGTAGCTGTCGTGAACTTCTTACTTCTAAATGCAATGACATTATCTACAAAAAACTAACATAACTGAACCTCTCTATAACAAAAGGACATAAAGTTTTCATAATTTTATCCACAATTCCTTATTTTATTATTCCTTTGAAAAGCAACTTTGTAATTTGACTCATTATAAGCCACAATGTAATTAATTTGGTTTGGATTTTGCATGCTATATGATTCCAAGGATTGTGACTTATAAATCATAGTTCATGATTTAACATGTTTTGAAATAAGGGAGGAAAAAAACCTTACCTGTAGCCTGAGGTGCAAGTGATTTCCCAATATGTATTAATAAATATGGCCATCTACAAATATTTGGTTGGCTAAATTGAAGCAGTTTATTATTATTATTAAATTTGTTTGCTGCCCATCTCACACAAGGGAAGTCTGGGTGGCTTACAACATTAAAATGAAACCATAAATATATGAACAAAAATATAAAATCACATTGAAATTACAATAAAATACAAGTTATAACTAAAATGGAGGGAAAGAAAGGAGAATATATGGGGTGCAGCAGAATGTGAGAACTGCTGTTAGTTGATCAACCATCTTCAGTGTTTAATTTCCCCATCATAACCCTAAGCCAACTGATAAAGCCAGAAGTTCACATTTTTATGAGCAAACCACACCTCAGGAGGAAAAGGCCATGGCTATGGCAGAGAAGATTCTTCTTCTGGACCCTGCCACCAAAATTCCTTGACTGATAGGATCTGTCACATGCCTCCTCTACTGGCACAAATGGGGTGGGCTTGTCCCATAGATTGGTTTGTCAGGTAACCCGAACTCATGACATGCAGGGCTTTTAAATTTAAATTCAACACCTTGAAATTGCACTGGAAGCAAACCAGTAGCCAGTGCAGCTTTCGGAACAGTGGTGTAATAAGGGCCACTCTAGGGTGCCACATTCTGCACCAGCTAAAGCTTCCAAATTCTCTTCAAGGGTAGTATCATGTAAAGCGCATTGCAGTAGTCCAAGCATGGGATGACCAGGGCTTGAATGACTGAGTGCAGGGACTCCTGATCCAGGAAAAGCCGCTACTGGAACACAACCTGAAGTTGTGCAAAGGTTCTCCTAGCTGCAACTGCCACCTGATCTTCGAGAAGGACTAGTGAATCCAGGAAAACCCCCAAGTTGTGGACTGGATGGTAGTGCCATTCCATTTAGATCTAAAAATTTAAAAGTCCAGGATCTTGAAGCTCCCCTCTTGAGTCAATTGTACTATTTTGGTACCCAAACAGAAATACATACAAACAACTACCCATTTCTTGGCAACTTGATGCCTTTGTTTTTATATATTTTAAAATAATAGTTTATATAGATACTCTGGCTCTTGCTTTATTCTGACAGCTAAGGGAAATTTATAATTGGAAAACAAGGGAGTGAAAACTTTTCTACTAGGTTTGGTCTAGAAAAAGCCCCAAATCTTTCTTTTCTTTCTTCCTAACATTTTTCCTGCAAGAGTGGAGTCTACTTTTGATCCATTCGTTGCCATAGGATTTGACTGACTAGCTTGTTGTCTGATGTCATGAGGTGACTGGTCCAAAGTCACCCAGACAGCTTTCATGCCTACGGCTGCACTAGAACTCACCCTCTCCTGGTTTCTAGCCTGGTGCCTTACCCACTAGACCAAACTGACTTACAAGGAAAAATCCCAGACCAATATACAATTTAATTCTTATAGTACCTGTACTACTATTTTTAGAAATTGGTCTTTTAGTAGTAGGTAAGTACAAAATTTCTCCCTTAGGTGTTACTTCCTGCCAGAAATAGCTTGCTGTGTGCTTGTTTTTGTCTTAGGTAATGGTTTTAAATCAAATAAAATCAATAGATAGCAATTTTTCTCTCAGAAAATGTACTTCCACTGTAAGCCTATATCAGTGATGGCGAACCTTTTAGAGACCGAGTGCCTAAAATCTGGCCCTGCCCCAGCTCCACACCCCTGCCCCACCCCCGCTCTGCCCATCCCCCACCCACCTGCCCACAGGACCACTCACCACCTCCAGGGCCCGCCGCAGATTGCCCAGGCAGCCCAACAGCGCTATGGCGGCCACACTCTCTACCCACGCCCTGCAGCATCAACTGCACGATGGGGTAGGAGGGCAGAGTCTTGTCTACGCTGCCTGGCTGCCATGTCCTTGGCTGCACTGCTCTGTGTGGGCCATTTTCAGGGGCAACTCTCCTTCAGGGGGGGTGCTGGAAAGGGGGGGTTATGGGGGGGGCAAGGCTGGGGCAATGGCATGTGTGTCCACAGAGAGGGCTCTGAGTGCCGCCTCTGGCACCTGTGCCATAAGTTCACCACCACTGGCCTATATATTCCCCCTTACACTTGTGAAAGGATTACCTTTTAAGTATCTGACACAGCTTAGTTATACAAACTTAAATGTTTTTAAGGTTATGTTTAATACAAGGGAAGGGAGTCCATATATGCCTTATTTAGTGACTGCTAGGTAGGGCAGTCATGAAGGCCTTGGAATAGATGAAAAAATAATGCCATGATGTATCTATGCCTGTAAAGATCAGAATCAGGCAAGCCTTGGTATTTCATGTGACACCCCACAAAAGTGAAAGTTTAACTTTGAAGCAGCAGGATAGGAACAGTATTGACATCTTTGAACTTTGGTGTTGAAGAAGACTCCTTAAAATGCCTTAGACCAGGGGTGTCAAACTCAATTTCATTGAGGGCCGCATCAGCATTGCAGTTGCCCTGGGGGGGACAGCCTACTGGGTGGGTGTGGATGGAGTGGGTGTGGCCTACTGGGTGGGCATGGCCAGCTCTACATCATTTGCATCAAGAGTGCCTGTGGGGGCCTGGGCAGGAGTGGGACAGATCTGAGGGTCTCTGGCAGCAGAAGGGGGTGGGACCAGGGCAGAGCCCATCAAGCCGGATATGTGAAATGGGCGAGGACCATTTGCTGGCCACTTCCAGGCAATGGTGCATTTCTTCATTCCTCACAAAGGGTGATATCTCCCCAACATGCACCCAGCAGGTGGGGCCAACATGGCAGGGGCTGGTTCCTCGCTGTTTCCAAACGGCCTTATGGAGCTAAAACTGAATGTGTTTCAGCATAGATGGCCACCACAAAATTGTACATTGGCTCCCTCCTGGCTGGCCTGGGCCGCGGGGGCCATTCCCTCAGTTTCCAGGATGGCTTCACCGGCCACATGAAACCACTTCGCGGCCACATCCGGCCCCAGGCCTTGTGTTTGACATATCTGCCTTAGACAGCCAAGAAAGCAAATGAATGGCTAATCAAACAAATCAATGCAGAATTCTCACTCAAGGCACAAATGACCAAGCTGAAATTATCCTACTTTGGACACATTATACAAAGACCCAGCTCTTTGGAAAGGCTCTAATACTCGGAAATGTACAAAAGAGGATGGTGGATAGACCCAGATAGAGTGGCAATGAGCGCAATGCTGGAAGACCAGGTTATGGACAATTGGTCATGGAGAAAATCTAAGTAATCGCTAGCAGTCCAAAACGATTATGATGGGCATAATCAAAAAAATTTCAGCTACCGAATTTCTTTAGTCAGGGCAAAGCCTACATTTTTGGCTACCCCCAGGATGCTATTTTAATTTAGTTTTGGGGGATGTGTGTGTGTATGTGGGGGGGGGGATACCGAGACCATTTTCAAAACAGTTCAGCCAAAGAAAGTTTTCAATCTTCTTGCCTTCTGTGAAGTTTCCCTTCAACTTTGCGGCGTCGCTTCCGCGGACCCGAGAACCGCCCGCCAGAAGAAGCCGGAAATTTCGACAGGAGCCTTTCGGCTGGAAACTAAGATCGACCGGTTACTATAGAGACGCCCGCGCCTAAAGGCTGGCCAATGCGGGTCGGCGGAGAGGCGGAGCTCGTGCCGTCAAGACCGGCTGTGGGAGAAGCTCCAAGATGGCGGCAATGTAAACAAGGTCCAGCGGTAAGTCAGGCTGGGACTTGGACTGTTTTGGGGGACAACTCTATGGTGAGGGACCGAGGAGAATAAGATGCCTTGGCAGTTTGGCTAAGGCAAGCGGTGGCTTTTCACAGATTTTCGGTCAAAACCGTCTCGGTGGCAGACGCAGGTGTGTAATTAGGAAAATATGAGCCCGGCCGACGAAAGAAGCGCTTGAGAAGCTGATGGCATTCCTTTCCCAAGTCTGAAGCGTGCTTTGGGCCGGAGAATCCCTGGCTTTTCTCCTCTCTCTCTCTTCCTTTTCACCCTGGTTTTCAGTTGCTTTTATTGATTGGTTGATGTGTTGGGGACCATTCAAAGGCCATCAGTGATGTTTAAGCGAAAGCCGCAGGCGCTCCGTAGTCTGGGGAAAATGGGAAATTGTGTTTAGCTGAAGCAATTGTTGTATTGCTGCTTTTGTGCAAAAGGACCTAGAACGAGCTAGGCATCCGCTCCCAACTGTCTCGAGACTCCTAGCTTTTCAAACTAATTGCAAAAAAATTTGCGTAGATAAGTTGGTGACGGATTTGAAGAGTGGTTAGCAATAAATTGCAACACGGACATAGATTAAACCTAGAAGGAGGTGCAGTCCAGGTGCTGAAACACTTAACACCATAAAGGTTTGCTGCAATATACGAAAGGAGTATATATCATAGTGTAAGATTTGTAAGTAGTAAAAATAACTTATAAACAAAGTGTGTAATAGAATAGAGTACACTTGCCGGTTGCTGTTTTATAATTTTGAACCAAGACCTGTTTTTATAATTTTGAACCAAGACCTGTTGCAGTGAATGACAGAGTGGTATGGGAATAAAAGAGGAATCGTGATAAACATGTTTACTTTTCGGCTTTGAAAACATTAAGGTATTTTTTCCCCTCTGTGTTGCTGATTATTTCCCTCTTAAATGGGCTATAATACTGTAATCCCATGAAATTAATGTTGGAGATTGATTGATTGATGGGTGAAAAGTTTTAGCTGTACTTAGGTACAGAATAGGTGCAGGATTCTATGTACCTAAGCTATACTTAGATACCACTTATTTGGAAAAACTCTAATACTTGAAAATGTACAAGGAAAGAAAAGAGGAAGGTAGAGCCAGATAAGAGTGGAAATGGGTGCAATGCTGGAAGACCTAAAAGACCAGTTTTTTGTATGGAACAAGTACCATGCAAGCATGTTTGCTCCAAAAATAAGATCCTGCCACTACTCTGTACCTAAGTGTAATAATGCTGGATTTATACCTCTGTATACTTTTACCCTTATAATGAGATACGAGGCAAAAAAAGATAATATTCTTGTATGAAGGAAGATAGGCATCTTTATAGTCAGGTGTTGCTTTGCTGCTGAAATCTTCATAGGATAATTTAATCTGTGTCACTTATTGTAATCTGTAGCTATTGTTTTGTGTTCTGTGTATTTATAGGATTAGAAAACATCTTGGAATTCTAAACTGGTAAACTCTGTTGATTTTTCTTCAGTGAAGCATGAATAAGTGTATATTCAAATTGTGTACCTAATTATAATCTATCAGAGATTCTAACAGTAATACAAATAAGTGGTGAATAGGAAAACAAATAGGACAAAGATAATTGTTTTGTATGTTTTACTGTTGTAAACATATTCAGAGTTGGGGACTATCAAGGTTCAGCAATACATAATTTTATATACATTCATCAAATATAGTAGAAATCAGTTGGTTTAAGTTTATTCTTAGGAATGCTACACATGTGACAAATCAGGCTAACAGAATTTTCATTCAGAAGTGGCTGACATTAAGAATGAATGTGTTGCTTTATATTATGGGATATAGTTGAAAAGGACTTTAGAGCTCATCTAGTATTACCTCCCGCTCAGTGCAGGATCCACTGAAACATCCCTGACAGATGATCATCTGGAGACCTCTAGTCTACCTACCTATCTATCTAGACTGCACCTTAATTTTATTTTGTTAAAAAATACTAGAATTTAAGGTTTCTAAAATAAAACATGTAACAAATTGAGATTAATGTTTATAATGTTGCTGTTATAAGTAACAAATATTGAATTAAGTAATCTGTTTTTGAAAGAGTAATAAGAAAGCCAACATGTAGAAATAAGCAAACAGAAAAATATTATTGTAACAATAAGGGATGGCTGAGTAATTCAAAGGAAAGCTATATAACATTTTAGAGAATGGGGTATGGTATTTGTTTATTTGTTGGATATACATAGCACCAATTTATATTGTTTATTTGTTGGATATACATAGCACCAATTTATATAGCTCATAATGTTTGCTAAAATAGCAAAATAGAACAATAAAATAAAACTAATCATAAAACCAAAAAAAGTCAGTAAAAACAATATAATGCCTAAAAAAACTCATCTAAATACTATCAACATAGGTAATCTTAAATATCCAAGGTCAGGTAGAATGGATTAGTCTTTGTTATTTTACAATTTAGGTTAAAATCTGTGACAGTGTAGCCTCAAAGAGAGGGATGCTATTTCATAAAGTGGGTTCCATAACTGAAAAATATTCCCTTCAATTTCACCAGATACAGTAACTTTTTCTGCTGAGATAAATGCAGTGGATAGGATGGTTTTTCCTGGAGTACATAGTCCCAATGAAACCCAGGTACTAAGCCCAGTTGAGCTTTAATAATCTGAACCAACACATTGAATTGTACCCCATAAGCTACCAGCAATCAACACAATTTCTGCAGTATTGGTAAAACATGAGTGAGATTGCCATCTTCTACCAATATTTTGCAGCAAATGTTTTTGGCTAGTTTTCAAAAGTGGTGCTATGTTGAGCCCTTTGAGATAGTCAGCTTGGTGGTGATGAAGCATGACTACTGTCACTGGGCTTGCTCAACCAAGATATGGCTACAACTAGAACATCTGCTGAAGCTCACTGTAGGCCTACCTGGCCATATTCTGTGTCTACCCAAAAAACTAGAACTGTCCAGAAGATATTTTTCAGGGACAGTGCCATACCATTCAGAATTATAACTGGAACAGACCGAATCTTAAATAGCTTTCTATGTTCATGGAACAATACAAGGTATTGAGATGACAGTTTCATTCTGTATTTTTTTGTTATCCCATATTTTTTGTACACATGTTTGTGTGTGTGGTACAAAAATATGGAAGAAGATAACATATACACACACATACATACACACATAAGTTGAAGAGGGACATCTAGAACAACTACAGAATATGTATTGTTCGAAAAATTGGTGAATCATAAATTAGGGAAAGTATGTAATTGCCAACTTTTATAAATATAAAGAAAATAGCCCACCTTAATAAAACTTATGTATAAAAACATTTTTGTACTATAGCAAGTGCTTCACAGGAGATTTGCAGACCAAAATAAAATATTATAAGCATAATAGCAAATCATGAAATATGAATAGAATATTTTTTAAAATTTATCTTAATATTAAAAACTGATAGAATATTGATAGAAATTAGGAGAATTTTCTGCTTCAGAATACTTTTTGTATGGATAAAGGCTTTTTTGTCAATAGGCTTTTTTAGTGGTGGTGCTATTGAACTGGATATTAGTCATCTTCTTCCAAGGAACTGCTGAAGATTTCTGAAAATATCAGCAAATATTTAGCATTTAAATAATTTTCAGATACTTTTCAACTTTAAATATATAAGCCATGCTGCTATTTTTCTTATTTATATTTCTTACTTTTATTTTTTTTCTCCTTTTCTATTATAGTGTCATAATTTATTCACAAAGAGTTGAGCTTGGCTAAATGTTATATTACTGCACTGTGTGTAATCTTGTTAAATAATCAGAGTGTCTGTACATTTATTCAGATAAATTCAAATGCATCTGAGTTTGCATTTTCTTGTACCTCCTCTTTTTAAAATATGATTCAATATTTGCTGCTATAACTGCTAAAACAACAGTACAAACAAATGCTTATGTAATATCAGTTAATTTACTTGAACATATTGATATTTTGAAAAATAGCAGGGAGTTTTTGGACATTAATTCTAATCTTTTTCAGCTATTTAAATGAAGCACTGTTATTTTTTGTAATTCTGTATTTTTCTCAATCCTTATATAGCTAATTTATTCTCATTCATTTTCCAACAATGAACAAAAAACTAAGGACTGCAGTGCACCAAAAATTCTTGCTCTCATTTTACCATTGGTAAAGATGCCCTAAAGATATTTTTAATAATTGTGCTGAAGATTTCTTCATGATGGTAGTGAGTATTTGATCTTTTCATTTCTAGGGATGTGGAGTGGTCTGCTACCTCCTGGTGTGAATGAAGATGATGTTGCCATAAGTTCAGAAGATGAAGAAACAGTGTCTCTTCCTGAGAGTATCTTAAATGAAAAACAAGAAGAAAGGGAATTCCTAGACAAACAGACTTGTGATCATGAAGAAAACAATATGGCTGAAAACCAACTTCCTTCTGCAGAAGAACAGGAATGTCTGGCATGTCTTCCTGGAGTTCCCTTAGATATGTGGAATGTAGGTTTGTTTACAACTCTGTATTAGGTTAGTTATGCCTGTTGTGATATCTAGGCATGTAATCCTTCTGGCAAGAGTAAATTAAATATATTTTGAATGAAATATAATATTTTTAAGCTTTTCAGTTATAGAGAAGAAATATTTTAATATCATTATTCGACAAAGTTCTGTCTTAAAATAAGATTGGAGAAAGTTGTGATGAATTCCTTTTCACCAAACATGTAGGCACTTCAGTGCTTATATACTGGAGTGTTCTTTGATCTTTTTTAGGTTTTTCAAAGTTTATTTTGTCTTTTCTTGCTCTCTCTCTATGTGTGTATCCCTGTAGTAAATGTTATGGAATTAACGTGCTCATGAGTGATTACTTGCTATCTTCATTAAATGAATTTCACATTTGTTTATTAGGGTTTGCATGTTTTAAGAACAGTTTTGAAGAAATGCTTCAGATATCACGAGGGTAGCATCTTTCCTAGTTATTAAAGCATTCTATTTTTGTTTGCTTCTACATGAATTTGAAAGAGATGTAGCTGTTTTAGAGCTTATCTTAACTTCAGAAACTCAGCTTCTTAGGATAGTGTGAAAGCCACTAATTACACATAGAAAGAATTTCAAAAGTGGCAAGTTTTATATGGTATATTCAGTAGGGTTTATAACTCCAAAAGCAGATGTGGCTGTCTTATTTATTATAAACAGCTGCTGCATTCACCTTCCCATGTGTTCTGAAGTGTTGCACAATCCTAATGCTCAGTGATGTTATGCTTTTTAAAGGACAAAATAGAATCCCATTGGCCATGCTTACATATATTAAACATTTTAGATCTTAGCTTTTATTTAGCGTTTCAAAGTCAATGTCCAAAGAACTTTCCTATATAAGAAAGTGAAAAGTATTATTTAGTAATATCAAGATAATCCTTGAATATATGAGAGCTCAATTGCGCATGTTCAATGTATATTGTAAGCATATCCACTGACTATTGTGTTAAGGATATTGTACTTTTTTGTTATTGTTAATAATTTGTTGCTTTATAATACCCAATTTATTGTAATGAAACAAAAGTAAAAAGTAATCATTTGTCTCTCTCAACAGAAATTTCAGAACCTAAAAAAGAAAAACCTTGAAATGAAAAATCAAGAAAAATGTCAAAGAGATAAACGCCAAAAGAGAAAACGTTCTCAAAAAGGTGGTTTGTTTCAAGTTGTTAAAATGCAGGGAACATTACAATAAAGTTCCCCAATAACTTGGTATTAGGATTAGGTAATTTTATGATCACCTTAATGTTTTTCTGTTATTTGGTTGTTATCTAGTAGAAAAAAAAAACATTTACTATAGTCTGGATCCATATAAATGTTTACCTAATTCCAGGTACTCAATGAGGCTTTGGCTTTTTTTTTCTAAACCACAGCCTACTTGCACCACAGCCTACTTGCAGTAGGACAAATGATGGAATTTATGAGAACTTTTTTGAAACTCTTTTTGATAAGGCAAGAGAAGTCATTCATCACAGAAAATATTCACATGCATGAAATAGATTTATGCATTTTTGTTCATTTATGTAATTTTGCATGTGGTATTACATGTGGATATCTTATGTTCTATTGTAGAAGTATGCTAAAAGAGAACAAATATTAATGTCTACACTGAAATTTTCTAAATTTTGATCTTTTTCACTGTTAATTATATCTCTGACATTCTCGTCTGTGTTTTAATGGTTAGATCATATAGAATTTAAAAAAGAACTCTTTAGTTGTGGCTTTTGATTTAACATTTGATTTATTTATGGACAGTGCTATGAATCTGGTGATCCAATTATTCTAGAGGTTGAGGCTGGCAAATCACTTGAGCTTAAGAGTTCTGGGCTGCAATGGACTATGTAGTTTGGATATTCACATACTTATATTGTGTATTGTATGCAAATTAGTCTGAACCTTTGTACTAGAAACTTATTAAGCTGATTTCTCTCTGTAATTAGTAATCTGTTTTGGAATAATACTACCTTTGTTAATATTCATGCAATGCTTACACAGGAAAGTTGGAGTAAGTGATTATGACTGAAAATATTTTTATATATCTTCAGCTGTTAATGACCTGTTCCCTGATAGTGCTCTTACCCTTAAAAAAATTACCTCATTCACACACACCCTTTCCCAGTTATGAAGTATTCTTTTAACAGTGTCTTTATTTATTTCTTTGTTAAATTTTGCAAATTTATATGGCCAAGTAAGTCTTATAAGGAGGCTTGATTGACCAAAGCACTAGAAATAACTTTTTTACAAATGATTGGCTGTAGATGCAAAGGCAATGTATAATGAAATTGATTCTGCCATTCAGTCCCAACCTTCAAAACAAAACAAAACTGATCTCTGGTTTTATCACTCCATCACTGTCTTGAAAACTTAAGCCAGGTGAGAAATACTGTAACGTGTATTTCTCAGATGTCTATTATAGATAAAGGTGGTCCCTCCATCAGCCTAGCTTAATATCCACATACAGCAGAGCATATAAGGTTTAATTCCCTCAAAACTTAGGTGTCAATACATATTTGTGTGTTTAGTGCTGTGGAAGTAGACATTGTCTAAGCTGGAATTTAATTCTAAATGTTGGTGTTTTTCTCTGTTAATTATATCTCAGCCATCACTGATTTCATCATGATTATTGCTGCATTAAAATTAAGTCCTAAAACATTTGTATTAGTTTATGAGAATTTTTTCATACTAAATTTTAGGGTTTGATTTTTTTTTTTTAGGTAAAATGAAAAGCAGTGAAGAAATAACTGACAGGTATTTGAAACTATGACATGATTATTTAAAATTTATTTTTACATGGTCAAAATGTTCAGTTTCTTTTCAGTCTCTTAGACTGATTCAGCAATCAATTTTTATACAGATGTGATCTTTTCAAGAAATATTATTTGAAAAAAATATTATTTCTGCCCACCAGCTAAAGAATAGATATGGAGGGTTTTGTTTTCATAAAATAAGTATATTCTTTTATATCAAATATACAAATGTAAATAAAATTTAATTGTATTACAGTCATAAAATAGAAGAAAATAGTTTCTGTAAAATATGTCCTTATTCTTTAGATAATTATTAATTTTAATGTTTCATATAAATATGTTACATATTTACATATAGATTATTTTCATGTGATAGGATCTTGTCCACCTATTTTTCTTTTTTCCTTTCTTTGTAGCCAAGAGTCTGTAAAGGAAAGACACTTCAAAGAGCTCACTCAATATTTTGGAATCAATGATAGATTTAAACCACTGGCAAGCAAGGAAACTACTCAAAAGGTGATTGCTAGGTTTTTTTTAAAAAAAGATTTTAAGCTTGCATTTCATTTGCAATTCATTTCACTGCAACTACATATGAGTGCAGTGAATATATATAGTTATTATTTATTAAATTTATACGTTGCTCATCTCACTATCAAGAGACCCTGAGCAACTTACAATATCAGAAATAATAATTAGAACGTTAAATATATAGCAAAACATTAGGCATTAAGAATTAAAACATTAAAATTAACAGCAAACTATATAAAAAGGACTAATGTGTAAACAAGGTAAGGAATGTTATACATATGCATGCCTACACACAGACACGCAGAACCCATGTAACCCAGCAGCTGTCAATTACTCATGCTGATTGGTGTGGCCAAAGTAAAGCAAGAATGGGGGAAATAAGGTTGATCTTGTGCTCTTTTTGGACTAGGAATGGGAGTACAATCTTCTGGTGTTCCATGGTCAGTGATAGATGTCGGTATAAAATGTAATGAATTCATTTAAAGCTTTCATTTTCACACATCAATTGAAAAAAAACCCCTCATTTTATGGATCAGTAAGAAAAAAGAAAAACCCCCACTTTCAGACTCATGATCTAAGAAAGACACAAGTAAAAGAAAAGAATGGTTAAGGAAAAAGAAAAATAAGATTACTCAGGTATCACTTCTTAATATGTGAAGGGTTATATTGTTTATTTAAATTTAATTGGAATATATAATTATTCTTCTAATAAACTTATATTCAGTGTTCTATTTCTTTTTTTGCCTGTTATACATCTATATTACAAATTATTACAAAGATAAACCAGAGTTTTAGAGATAAAAATCTGACGTTCTGTTAAGGTAGTCCTTGATTTGCATGCATGTTTGTTTAGCGATGGTTCAGAGTTGCAACCCCACTGAAAAAAGTGGTTTACAGTTGTTCCTCGCACCTATGACCATTGCAGCATTCCCATAATACATGATCATAATTCAGGGACTTGGCAACTGGCATGTATTTATGACAGTTGCAGTATCCCTGAGTCATGATCATCATTTGCAACCTTCCCAGCTGGCTTCTGACAAGGAAAGTCAATGGAGGAAACCAGATTCGCTTGATGACTGCTTGAGTCATTTAACAACTACAGTGATTTGCTTAACATCCATGGCAAAAAAGGTTATAAAATTTAGTACAACTGACTTAACAACTGCTTTGCTTAGGAATGGAAATTCTGGTCCCAGTTGCAGTTATCAGTTAAGGACTACCTGTTCATTTATAAAAGCTAAGATAAGTTAGGATTTTTAAAGCTTTTGCTTAATGTTTGATTTTAGAAATTAAAAGTGTATCTTTTTCCTACATCTGACAATTTACAGGCTTGAATTCAGTAATATAGTGAAATAAATGAGGGGTGGCATTTTGGAAATTATTTGCTTGATGAATATAAAAACTAAGAATGGCAAAGATACAATAGTAATTTGGATTTTCCATGCAGATACATCATATTTTCTTCAGGAAAGGAATGGATGAATCAGATATTGAAATGAAACATTGTTATAATACACCTAAGCTAGCTGACATTTTTAAATCCTGAATTTATTCAAAACAAAAAGTGAAAATAATACGAAGTTTGTTCTTATACAACAGTTCTGTAACTATCAATAGGGCAGGCTGTTCAAATTAGAAATTAAAACCCACTTATGGTCAGAACTGCTTCCAACCTGAATGGAAGAAGTTGGCAAGAATATTCCAACTGCAAGCTACTTCAGTTTTTTTGACAAGAATTTGTCAAATGGATTTGTCTTGGAAGTTACCAGAGTTACTCAGTCAAAGCTTCCTAATTTACTTTAAAAAATATTTTGCATGTGATTTACTATACATGAAAGTTACAGATGTGAAGTTCATATTATTTTGGAATTGATAGATTTTTTAGCACATTTTTATAATGTTCAGTTGGTATTCTAGGAGGACCATTAATTTTTTCTCTCTTTTTTGGTATGTTTTCTAGTCTGGCCTTGAAATCAGTATAGACAAATGTGTAGCTGAAGGTAATATTGTCCAAGCTGAGGAATTAAGTGATAGATTAGCTACTCGAGAGGTAAGTTACAATTTTGTTATATTTTTAATATGGTAATATTATTAGACATAATTTGCAATTGTTTTATGGAACAGTTTTTAAGTTACATTGTTTGGGAATTGCAGATGTTATTTGGGAAATCCTGTGGATATATCTATTTCTAAATTGCTCCTATTGCAATTTTTGATGCCTGACCATGGAATAAATAAATCCTAAAACAAGAGCCCATAATGTGCCAGAAACCAACAGATCTAAAGGCCATATGACCAACTTTCTCTACTGATCCTCCTCTAGACACTACTTCATGCTAAATTTGAATATGCTTCGGCATTATGGGGACTGCTGGTATAAACTTGGGAAATGATAATATATATTGAGCAGTATAAAGTGGAAAAAGGATTTTTTTCTATATCATTTTAGAATTATTATAAGTGTTCCACAATAATAGAAAAGAATGAGGCTACATCTATTTAATTCTAAATGTTCACCACATTAAGAAATTCTTTTTACAATCTGCTATTATAGCCTATAAATAAATACCATAACTGTAATAAATTTTGTTGTTGTATATAAATGTTAAACTATACCGCATTTTATGTATAGTTTATTAGATCTATATTTTTCATTAACTATAGTTTACATGAGAGTTTATTAACTAAACTAATTTCTCAATCTTAATTGTAAGACTGTATAAACTAGTAAAAGATAGTGCCAAGATACAGGTAAAAAGATACATCAATAGACTATAACTATTATTCATTGAGCTATGATTACTTAATTGGATATTTGACCTGATTTTGAAGGACAGCCTGTCAGGTTTATTGAGGGAAAAACAGTCAAAGGTCTTATTTGGGAATGAATAGTTTTATGGTGAATTTGGCAACTAAGGGGGAAAGTTTGATATTGTTTATTTCCAGCCTTTTTTCTAATTAATTATCAACTTTCATATAAAGTATAATGATCTTCTATTAAAGACTATTCATTCAATAGTTAATTGTTGAAACTTACGACAATAATAGTTGAATGAATGGTAGTTATAACTGTTCCTTAGCATTCTGGCCATTTCAGCATCCCTGTAGTCACATGATCGCATTTTTCAACTTTCCTGCCAGCGTTCTGCAAGTAAAGTCAATGGGGAAGCTGAGACATTTGAGTTGTGTAAGGTCGTCGCATAATGATGGCTTCCGGGACTACTACCATTACCATCACTAAATGAGCTGCAGTACTGCAGTACTGCAGCAGTTAGAGTGCAGTACTGCAGGCCACTTTAGCTGACTGTGTTGAGCAGGTCAGCGGTTCAAATCTCACCGGCTCAAGGTTGACTCAGCTTTCCATCCTTCCGAGATAGGTAAAATGAGGACCCAGATTGTTGGGGGCAATGTAAATATATATATACATTGCTTACTGGTGTACGCCGCTTAGAGAGTGCTTGCACTTAAAGCGGTATTTAAGTCTCATAAATAAATAAATAAATAAATAAATGAATAAATAAATGAATGAATGAAAGGGTAACATGACATCATGCTTTATGATTGTTTCACTTAATGATGGCAGTTCTAGCCTTAATTCCTTTTCTTTTTTTTTTTTTTTTTTTTTTTTTTTTTATTAAAAGTTTTATAAATTTTACAAAAAAAAACAAGAACAATACAGAACAAAAAACAACATATACAAAAGAAAAAAAAATTAAACAATACATATAAAAAAAACCCCCACCCCACACCCCTCCCAAAAACCCTCCCTTCCCCCCCCTGAGCTTCCCAGAGCAGAATATAGGCTTAAGAAATAATAATAATAAAAAAAAAAAAAAAAATAAAATAAAAATTAAATTAAAAACTTTATATTTATATATATAAAAAAGATATCTATAATATATATAAAAATAAAACTTATGAAAAAGCTATATAATATTTTTGTATACCCAATCTAAATTGTATAAATTTTATCCATTTGTCCAGATAGCAAAAAACTTCTCTTGCGTTTGTTGCTTTAAGAAAGCCGAAATCTTTGCCATTTCTGCCAGATAAGCTACTTTAAAAAACCATTCCTGCAATGTAGGCAAAGATTCCTTCTTCCAATATTGTCCAACTAACAGCCTCGCGGCTGTGATCAAGTTTAACATCAATACAACCTCCTTTGTATCACAATCTGTAACAATACCTAACAAAAATAATTGCGGAGTAAATTTTACCCTCCTTCTAAAAATTCTCTGGATATTCCACCATATTTTGATCCAAAATGCTTTTATCTCTCTGCATGACCACCAAATATGATAATAGGAAGCCTCCTTATAACCACATCTCCAACATTTAGGTTGCACGTCAGGGTACATGTAAGACATTTTTTGTGGATCACGGTGCCATCTATAAAACATTTTATAAAAATTCTCCCTTAGATTCTGTGCTTGAGTAAATTTGACATTTCTCACCCAAATAGTTTCCCAGGTGTCCAATGAAACTGGCTCACCAAAGTTCTGCTCCCATCTAATCATACAATCTTTAATTAGTTCCGTTTCTGAGTCCAATTCAACTAAAACCCCATAAATTCTCTTAATGTGGGTTTGTCTTTGATCCTTCAGTTTCTTAATAAGATTTTCATCTTCTCTAAGAAAACCCACCTTACAATCCATCTTCCATCTATCTAGTAGTTGCCTATATTGGAACCAAGAATAAGTAAAATTTTCTTGTGCTAATTCTTCCCGTGAGTTTAATTGCCAGTTTTGTCCATCCCATTTAAGTAACTGTCTGTAAGACACCATATCCATTTTAACCCCTCTTTTTATTCCTTCTATCGCATGCCAAGGTATAGCCCATAATGGTACTTTAAAATCACTTTTATAATATTTTCTCCAAATCCTAAGTAAAGAAATTCTTAAAATATGAGATTTAAAAGCCCAATCTATTTTTTTATTAAATATTAAATAGGCATGCCACCCATAAAGTAAATCCCATCCCTCTAGATAAAGTATCTCAGATTTTGTCAAATTTACCCAGTCACTAATTAATGTTAAAACCACCGCATCATAATATAATTTCAAATTTGGTACCTTGAGTCCGCCCCTCTCACGGACGTCTTGCATAATTTTGAACTTAACCCTTGGTTTTTTCCCTGCCCAAATAAATTTATTGAGACCCTTCTGCCACTCATTTAAATTAATCTCATTTTTCAAAATTGGTAACATTTGAAACAAAAACAGAAACTTGGGTAGAATATTCATTTTTATCACTGCAATTCTTCCCATGAGGGATAATTGCAACTTTTCCCAATTCTTCAAGTCTTTCTGTACCCGACCCACAACCTTTCATAATTATTTTTAATAGTTTTGCATTAGAAACAGACAGCATCACCCCCAAATATTTTACCTTATTAACAATCTCAAAACCCGTCGAGTTAACCAAAATCTGCTTCTCCTGACTCGACAAATTTTTAGGTAAAATTTTAGTCTTATTTACATTAATCTTAAAACCCGAGAACAAACCATAATGGTGAATCAACTGTAATAAGTTTACTACAGAATAATCAGGTTGCGACAAAGTAACAACCAAGTCATCCGCAAAAGCTCTCAACTTAGATTCTTTTTTATTAACATATATTCCTTTAATTTCCTGAGACTCTCGAATTTTAATCAATAATATTTCCAATGTTAAAACAAACAACAATGGCGATAAAGGACACCCCTGTCTAGTACCTTTCTCTATTGTGAAAACCTCCGACAAACCTCCATTAACAATAAGTTGTGCTGTTTGTTTTTGATATATTACCTTAAGGGCTTGTAATATGTTTTCACCAAATTCATTTCTTCCATTACTCTTAGCATAAAATGCCAATTCAGTTGGTCAAATGCTTTTTCAGCATCTAAAAATATGAGCCCTGCAGGAACTTGGTTGTTCTTATCTAAGTATTCTAATAAGTTAATAATTTGTCTAACATTGTTTTTCATATACCTTCCTGTTATAAACCCTGATTGATCTTTATGCACAAGATGATGCACCACCCTCATAAGCCTATTTACCAAAATTTTTACAAATATCTTATAATCCACGTTTAAAAGAGATATAGGCCTATAGTTTTTTGGTAAAGTAAGATCTTGATCCTCCTTTGGAATCAATGATATAAAAGCACTACGCCATGAAGGAGGAATCTCTAAACCCTGTAAGATACCATTAAAAAGATCATTTAATGGTTGAATCATCTCCTCCATTAAGGCTTTATAATAAACAGCTGTTAACCCATCCGTACCCGGTGCTTTCCCTAATTTCAATTGTTGAATTGCTGATGCGATTTCCTCCTTAGTAATTAAACCATTAATTTCATATTTCTGATCCTCAGTCAGTTTAGGAAAACTTGCCTCAGCTAAATATTTATTTATATCTAACAGTTGTACATTAGTAGATTTGTATAGGTTTTGATAATAATCCAAAAAAGATTTTTTAATTAATTCCTTCTGAGAAACTAGTTTACCCTTATAATTTATTTTCTCTATTATTCTCAGTCTCGGTTTCTTTCTTAATTGATAAGCCAACCATCTCCCCGGCTTATTAGCATTACAAAATGTATTTTGTTTCATAAATAATAAATTGGTTGCAGCTTGATCTGCTATCAACATATTAAATTGTGACCTTAATAACTTTACATATTCTTTAGTACTTTCATCAGAAGGATTTAGAATCAAAGCCCTTTCTTTTAGTTTAATTTCATCTTCAAGTTCTCTACGTTTCTGAGTCTGATTTCGCTTATAAAAATTATTCATTTTTATCAAAACACCGCGCATAAATGCTTTACCTGCATCCCATACCATTGACATTGAAGTCGCCTTATACATATTCAAAGCAAAATAGTCCTTTAAACACTCCTTTAGTTTTTGAACATTCTTCTCTTGTCTAAACAAATTTTCATTAACTCTCCAGGATCTTCTTTCCTCTTTCTCTTGAATCAACTCCATCCAAACTGGACTATGATCCGTCATTGATCTAGGAAAAATCTTTACATTCTTTACTTTATTATACAAATCCGTGGTAATCAAG